CGATCGGGAAAACCGCGACCTCCTTGCTCTCTTCCTCCTGGACAAGCGCGCCGGAAGTGATACCCGATCCACGCCGTTCGCGGCCGATCATCTGCCGCCAGACGGTGTCCCGCTCCCAGGCGATGTTTTCGCGTTGATGCAGCTTCAGCTGTTGTTTGGCGAGCGAGCGATCGCCATGTGCGACGCACTTGGTGTACAGTTCTACCAGCTGGTTCAGGCACTCGGTTAACTTGGCGCGCGATTCGGAGGTGAAGGGCAGAGCGGTGTCGACGGATTCGCGCAAGTACCGGTCTTTCAGCTGCGGATCGCGTCAGTGAGTCTAGACTTGCATGTCATGAACACATGTAGTACCTCTCGGTCGGTAACCTTGTCGTATCTGGATGGCGACGTTAGCACGGCAACCGAAGCTCGAGAAGAGAGAGGACTTACTTCTTCAGGATCTTCCGCAGACCAGAATAGTTCACCTCGACATAGGATCTGAGAGACGTGATCATGATGTACAGCCTCGTTATGCGCCGTTTATAGAGCATGCGGGTATCGGTCGCAAAGTCAGACTTGGAAGTCCACACGTTTTCCGGGCCAGTGGAAGAGGTCGCACTGGCCCGCATGAACTTGTTTGCGATCCGGCTAATAGTCCCTCGTGGTTGTGCTGCGGGCGAATGCGATTCCCCGTGCCCATCTGAGGAGACGGATGAGATGCTCAGGCGGTGGCCACGTGTATATTCGTCTGCTAGTCGAGAATGAGAAGCGGGAATACGCTGGGGGATCCAACGAGGAAGATAAAAAAAACGCACTAGCACCAGAAACCTCGAGGGACACACGCTGGCTCGACAACCCCCGGCGGGACCGCTGGGGACTCCGAGACAGACTGATATCATCGTCCTCGTCGTCATCTTCGTCGTCGTATCCGTCGTAGTAATCCACCCCCGACTGCTCCTGTTCCTGCACCAACTCCTCCAGCTCCGCCACCTCTCTCACGACCTCCTGCGCCTGCTCCTCGTAAAACGCACAGATCTTGCGCAGTTCCTTGTCGAGCTGCGGAACGAACACCGCGTCCGTCGCATGCGCTCGCTCGTCGCCGACCAGGGCGCTGCTCTCGTTCGCTTCGAGGTCGTGGTAAGGGGCATGTGCGGCATGCTCGTGCTGCGTTCGCTCTAGTTGGTATATCGAGCGCTTGAGCGCATCGTATGCGATGTACTGGTCCCACCACTCGGACACGGCGTTGAACTTGAGCGCAGAGCTGGGCGGAGGAGGGAGTCGTCAGCTGCTGCGCTCCTCGCAGCTTAGTAGATTCTGAGCTGACCTGAACTTCATAGTGCAAGATGATCGATAGCTATCCGACAGATGGGCGCCAGCTCAGCTGTGAGGCGCGGGGTTATCGACTGCAAGATGCTCTACCCGGAAAGTCGTCGCCGTCGGCGTGGTCGTCGCAAGCGCACTGTGCACGTGATGATCAATGATGGGGGGCCGAAAGTTTTGTTCCCCGCAGCGGTCTCCTGAAACTCGCCCAAACAAGCTATCATGAAGTTCGATTTTGATCCTGCTGGGATCTTCTTCGTCTATTTGCAGTGAGTTGCATCAGCGGGCTGAACAGGCTTCGATGATGCACGTCGATGAGCTCTAAGCTCAGCCTCCAACTCCTTTACATAAAGTTCACCCCGCATTCACAGACCATTATCTAAAACAGTTTGTTTGTGTTGTTAAGATCCGCATATTCAAGTCAGCCTCAAACCTGCACTGAAATTACGACTTGTCTGGTGGCCCGACCCTGCCCGAATCCGAATTCCAAAAAAACAGAGCGCAAGCCAAGCTCTTCGCGAGAGAACCTGCCACCGAGTAAAGAAGTGATCACTTGGACCTCGATACCCGGACTCTCGCTGGCAGCTGTTGTATTCCAAGCGAAAGCTTCGCTTATCTCTTTGGAATCTGGGATCGGTTGTTTACTCGTTGACGCTCCAGGAACAATTTGACTGCCCGAGCTGCCACCATCATCCGACTCTCGGGTAGCCAGGGGAGTGATTTTCTCGCCCTCCCGCTCGATCCGTACTGCCGGGATGCGTACTCGCCAGTAAGCATCTTGGCTAAATTCTTGACAGGTCGTCGTAAATTAGCAGCCTCAGGTATGCTGTCCGCTTCGTGGTTCTCGCCACCTCGGGATGGGCAGTGCCGGGACTTCGAAAGAACCACAGACTCGTCGACTCGCTGGCGACTTCCCACCATCATCCACATGTTCTAAGCCAGAATCCTTAGGCAGGGTCTCATGACCTGAAGCGCAGCTTGCCCGCAGACAGCCATGTCCGCTCCAGCGTCGACCCTGCTCGAGCAGATTCGCTCCCTCGTCACCGTTGACCTCGATGCGATGGATCCCGACATTGCCGCGCGCCTCACCCGACAGACCAAGTTCTGCGATATGACCTCTAATCAAGCGATCGTGCACGGTCAAGCGACCAGACCCGAGCGTGCGCTGCTGCTGAAACACGCCGTCGAGTATGCGAAGCAAAAACGCACGAGCACCGGACCTGCGCTGGGATCGGTCGATTCCGTACAAGATGCGATCGATGTATTTGTGAGACTATACGATTCCCCAATGGTTTGCCTACGCCTCCAGAGCTTACTTCACCCATCAGACGGTGCTGCTCGCCAAGGAAGTCCTTCCGTATCTCACCGGAAACGTGCACGCTCAGACTTCGCCGTCCACCGCATACGACAAAAACCGCACGATATCTCACGCCAAAAAGCTGGTGCAGCTGTTCAGTGACTTCGGTATTCCGAGGTGTGTAGTTCACTGCCACCACGCCAAGTTTGAACTGGAGCTAATCAGCTGGGGGCAGCTCAAGAGTGTGCATCAAAATTCCTGCGACACCGGAATCTCTGCTCGCGTGTCGCGATCTTCAAAACGATGGGATCCAGACTCTCGCGACATGCTTATTCTCTGTCCCACAGGCCGTCGCAGCGAGTCAAGCTGGCTGTGTCTATGTCGCGCCGTATTTCAACGGTTCGTTTCATTCATTTTATGGTCCCATATCTACTACCTACCCTGGCCCGAAACAGAGCTCCGGGTCCACTTCCAGGAAGGCTTGTGGCATGAGTATGCCGACACGAAGAATCAGCACCCGATGTGTCAGACGATCATGCACATTCGCTCGGCTCTCAGAGAGATAGGGTCAAAGACCTTGGTCATGCCTGCAAGGTGCGCCTCGCATACAACACGTTGTTCAAACACTTGATCGAATATCAGTATCGTGACTGTCCAAGAGGTATATCACTCATTCCCCAAGCATCAAACTCAAAACTCGGAACTAATCGGGATCCTTTTCATTTAGACGATCGCTCTGGCTTCGTTGTCTCCCGACCATTTGACCATCTCCGGTCACATCCTTGATCTGCTTTCAACACTCCCGGCTGTGGAATCTAAACAGTTTGACGCCCCAAAGCTCATTTCAGTCGACTTTCCTAGTGAGTCGTAATCCCACTGTGCCTGCTGCGATGACTGATAATGCCGCCACCAAAGCGGGCAATCTGTTGGATAACGACGGGGCAGAGCTTCGCCGGCTGCTCGATCAAGACCTAGAATCCCAACGAAAACTCACCGATGCTTTGCTCATTTTCAATCAAAAGGAGGCAGAGACGAAGAGTCTGATACTGAACCTCCTGACTGATCCGTAGAAAATACATATATCTGGTTAGCAGCTATACATCGAACATGAACTCATCGACAAGCACAACGCCAGGGAACAAGTTCTCAAATTCGTGCTTGTCCGATTCATCCGACTGAGAGTTCGGTTTTGTCCTAACACGGCTTCGGACTTCCACTTTCGTTCGACCAAGAGCGAGGGGGATTATTCGTCGAGCGCCAGTCCTTCGCGTCGATGGGATCTTTTTCGACACTGGCCTGCTGACGGGCACCATCGAAAGAGACGCATTCGTGCAAAACGGTTCTTCCTCCGCTATAGCACCGGCGAGTATGAGCATCGTGAAAATTCATACCACCACGCCCCTCACCGAGTTGGGAAAGCGGAAAGCCGGTCCAAACTTGGCTATCCGCCGCAAAAGATTCAAACGAATGGCTTTCAGTCTGTTTTTGATCAGTGCTTTGGAGGGGGTACGACGAGGCGATAACCAGCAAAGCGGCTCCAACAGCTTTGTAATTGGGAAGCTCAAAGTCAAATGGGGGTATGTATATTTCTGAGCAGAAAGATTCAGACGCTATGCTATGCGATAAAGCGGTCAAACGAAACGAACGACGTACCGGCGCATCTGGGTGGCATATACTCAATCTCGTCCTCCAAAACGACCGCCCGTCCAGTCCGCCCATCAAGCAGAAGCGGGCTTCCGAGCCCCCGCTCGAGCTGCAATTGCCGCCGAGCAGGCGTGCGGATGGCAGGAGTCCTCTGACCATCACCCTCGCGGGCAAAGAGCCCATTTGTCTTGTTCGCCTCGGTGAGGAGACTCGCGAGGCGCCGCTTGTCCGGTATCGGAGTGCGATCAAAGATGCCGTTCACGTAGAAAGTTTCTCCTGACTTGTTAGTAGCGATGGGCCCTGCTGGTGTCTCGTCGACGAGCGGTCGGGGGACTTGATTGATAAGCGATTTGCCAGATTTCTCGGGCACGGCGCGTCGTTTCACGGGGGAAATTGCTGTCCAGGATATTTGAATGTCTTCGATATGCTTCCAATTGGCTGAGAGCCACTTACCTCGTTCTTGGAGTGGCACATTGCCACTCAGGCTATTCATAGGCCCCATGAGTGTCTTGCTACCTCTCAGAGTATCCTTCTGGGAGCCATGTGGAGCGTTCTCGCGGCCAGGCGTCCTCGCATTTGAACGCAGATTCGAGCCAGCATGAGTCGACCGACTGGATGGCATGATGGACCACTGTCGAGGCGGGTCTGATCTGTGATCAGCCATGTGATCGTGTGTTAACGTGATCCGTCACGTGTATGAAAAACGCACGGACCATCTGAAAAACGTATATAGCCCAGCTTCCATCATCAATGATTCTTCAGATACATACTCATCAGGATCTTTTTATAGAAACTGACCGAGTCTCGCATTTTTACAAATGCCGCATCCTTCAAATCCACTCGATGACTTTTGCGCTCGCTCGTTCGACTGAGAACATGGCCTCTCACCGGGCCTCGATGACGTTTTGGCTCGCTTTTGGACTGTCCGCAAGGACTGTTCAGAGCGAGCCTGCGAGTCGAGCGTTTGTCTGATGGATTCTTGTTTCGGGGGTGTATGTACTTAGTAGTAATTTGGCAGACAGATCTCGAATTGATGTAGCCATTTCTTGAATCTATGAAACTCTTGCTAACTTAGTGGAAGGGAACATGATCACTTGTTCCTGGTTGGTCTCCTACTCTTCGTTCCTAGAGAGTATTGATGTTGATGGGGAAACTAGTGTCCTTTACTGAGTAATGAAATGCCAAGATATTGCACTTGCTCGAAGAATCTACAAATATTTGGACAATTTACATGATGTAGTACAGACATTGAGTGCTAGGGGAGGTCCAGGTAGAAGTCTGCCACATTGAATTAGCATTGGTCAGTACACAAAGACTGGGAATTGTGGCCTGACCCCACATTCCAAAAGGGGAAATGCCTCACCTAAGGAACATCTGCTGCAAAGGGTACCCCCCCTGTTAGGGGTCAAAATTTGACTGATTTGGATACCTAACAGGAGGGGCACCCTCTACACTTTTGGCCATCCTCCGCACCAAACCTCCGCAAATAGGTGCCAAGCATCTGCAACAAGCCCTGTGACCAGCTGCAGATCCATCCGCTCCTGGCTCTCCCTGTGATCATTGTGATGCCATCATGCAGGCCATCCACAGTCCATGTCATGTGACTGTTATCCAGTGCAGAACCCTCCACATTTCTTGTTCTTTCATTTTTCAGTTCTAGCCTATATATGTCATAGTTTGACTACTTTTTCATCTTATCATCAACGATCTTATCTTATCTTGGCACAGGTTATCCTATCACGGATCATGGCATCACACGGTCCAGACTAGGGGCCCAGGGGGATATCTCTATTGATTCAAGGCTGCGCAACACATGCTCCAGAAGGTTCTACTACAACCTATGACCAGTGCTCCATGCAGTACATAGTCTTATGACTCAGGCTGGATTTGGGTATAAATACTGTAGCTACTTGGTTGTATTCTCCAGTCTTTGAATTCACTTCTCTTTTCGACTTTGTTTTTGGGTTGATTGTCACATAATTCAAAGACTCCCCTCATACCCGCGTACCTCTTACCTCCTACCCTGCATCCCGCACCACTATGCCCGCTATATCCTCTTCACCCTTTTACCAAATCATCTAGTCGTTCTCTGCAATCACAGTGAAGGGTTCATATCGAGCAAACAGCACCAGGCCACGGGTAATTTTGAGCCTGACCTAAGCCTTACGGTAGCTACAAGGAGTGCTGCGGAGACCTTCAGGAAAACGCACCTTGGGATCATTGGGCACGTGAAGAGCTAGGCCCGGGATCTTTTTGCTAGCAAAAAAACCCTCCCTCGAGTGCTTGTACAGCACACGAATCCAACATTTTGTTCTGATTCCCATCGTCGTCTGGGAGTCTGTCTCCTCCTCCCATCCTACCATCGTTGCCCGATCTGGCGTATCAAAACCAACCAGGGCCCTCCAATCCCTATCTTGCCCTCCCGCTGCCTGAAGACGAGATCCCCGACCTTGACAAGTTACCCTCCAAACAACCACCCTTGCCCCCACCTACCATGTCAGGACACCATCACATCACTCTTGCCACCAACCCCCCCTATTCCGATGGGGACAGGACCAAATACATGGGCTTTGTGGACTCGTGCACCACCTACATTGGTGCATACCGGTCAGAATTCTTGCTGGATGAAACCAAAATCCTCTTCATCCTCTCCTACCTCCGCAACGAGGCTGGCACAAGCTGCGCTGCCTCGAGATGGGTGATGAACTGGAAGCAGCGCAACTTTGAGAGCCTTAATGGAATAAAGGCTGGGGTCACCTCGGCGACCTTCTTGGAGGAACTTTAGAGGGCCTTTGGGGACTCCAACGCAGAGCAAGTTGCCGCTGCTCGACTCATGGCTCTGCGCCAGAATAGACAATCCTTTGCGGATTATATCTCCGACTTTGAGATGCTGGCTGCAGATGCGGGGTACAATGTGGTCACCTCCACCAACAGCAAGGGCAAGTACAAGAAGGGGGATCAGGACAACATCCTCATCGAGTTCCTCGAGCGTGGACTGAGCAGCGAGATTGCAAGCCGCCTCTACAACACGGGTGTCCCCTTGCCCAAGGCGTATGGCGCCTTCAAGGACTGGTGTGTCAACATCGAGGTGAACGCTCTGCACAATCAGCTGCGCAAAGCATTGCATGGGCACTCCGCACCATGACCGCCTCCCCAGTTCCATCCCCAGGCGGCACCAGCCATGCCCACACCCGCTCCAACCCGACCCGCTGCCAACGAACCGGTTCCAATGGAAATTGATTGCACCCATGCCCGGGGCCGCAATATCATTTGCTACAACTGTCAGCAACCCGGACACATCGCGCGGAACTGTCCGGAACCAAGGAAGAAGCGCACATTCTTCAACAGGGCCACAATGCTTGAAGAGATCAAGAAAGGGGACAAGAACAACAAGTTCCTCAAGGAGATTGCTGAGAAGCTGCGCAAGAAGGGTTTTTGAAGTGCTCCACTCCTCTAGCCAAGGAGGTGGAGCGTCTGGACTATGGACAATTTTCTGTACTTGTTTCAATTAAAGACATGAACGATTCTGCACATACATACACAATCTTGGACTCACTATGTACCAATATTCACGATTTTCTCATTGCCAATATGGAAAAGGAATGCCAAAGAAAAATAGCTTTAAATAGAGAGTATTTACAGAGTAAAAAGGATCAGAAGGCTGCAGATAAATTAATTTTGGACTCCTACATATTTATGGCTTGTAGAGAAGGAACCATGTCAACAAAGACCAAAAAGGGGAGCATCGCTCCGGAGGCTCAATGCTTGAAAAAGGAGGAAGCGCCTAAGGAATCTGCCAAAATCAAGGTTCCAGAAGCACCCAAACGCACCAGGGTGCCAGATGCCGTCCAGAGAAAATTGGAGGCCGAGAAACAGAAGGGCCCCCAGCCCAGCAGATTGGCACAGGAATTGTGCAGTTACCAGGCTGAAAGAAAGAGGCATTCGATGGACGTATATGTCCAGATCACAGGTCTGGACTCAGGAAAAATGCACGGAGTCAAGGGGCTGCTTGATAGCGGCTGCAGTACCTGCTGCATTGATACCGACTACGCGCGGGCAGAGAAGCTGGGTATCCAAGAGCTTCCGCAACCCATCGTGGCTTGTGATGCCAACAACACCGAGAACATCAGCAGTCGGATCACGCACTACGTCAACCTAAGGATGAGAATCGGTCCTCATGTGGAGACATGCACGTTCCTTCTGACGTGCTTAGGGAAAGCCCGGATCTTCATTGGTCTTGATTGGCTGACGGAACACAACCCCGAGGTGGATTGGCAGGAGCAGACCATGAGATTCAGCCGATGCCCAGAGCAGTGTCACATGAGGGGTCACGAGGAGCACCAAGCAATGATCGACATGGATGCAATTGACCTGGACGTGGGCACACCCAATCTGGAAGAGGGAGAATCGATCCTGTTGATCAACTTTGGAAAGGAGGTGGATCTACAGCTGAAGGAAACACCGGCACAGAAATTTGCAGAAGAAGGGGAAAAAGAGAAGGAGAGGATGACCGAGGGGAAGATTCCAGATCAATACCGGGAATTCATCAAGGTATTTGCCAAGGAATCGTTTGACTCACTGCCAGATCAACAAACATGGGACCACGCGATTGAGCTCAAACCGGGTTCCAAAGCAGTGGACTGCAAGGTGTACCCATTATTGCGAAATGAGCAGGTCAAACTGGATGAGTTCTTACAAGAGAACCTGGCCAGCGGACGGATCAGGCCATCAAAATCACCCATGGCATCAGTGTTCTTCTTTGTCAAGAAGAAAGATGGCTTGCTACGCCCCGTCCAAGATTATTGGAAGCTGAATGAGATGACAATCCAAAATCGATACCCGCTGCCGCTGATCTCCGAACTGGTCCATAACCTTTGCGGCGCCAAGTTCTTCACGAAGCTTGACATCCAGTGATAGGCTGGCTACCAGACGCGCTCTGCACCAGCTCTGTAAGGGCGTATTTTTGCGCTTTTTACAGAGTTTACTCTCGAACCATTTGGTGTATCGTGTCGCGGTTGACAGTGTTGCGCTCAGTAGGGCTTAAGGGTCTACTGCCCAGTCGACAACTGTGGATAGTGTCAACGATAGCAAGGCAGTCAGACCACTACTGTGGAATTGGTCTTATGAGTCTATACCAGGCTCAGGGCTATTAGTGACGAACGCTGGGACCGCGACAATTCCCTAAAAGGGATCTTTGTTGCGGCGACTTCTCAAGAGGGTCATTCTCTGCAGATGGGAACTTGGGCTGAAGGGCTGAGCGATGCGCGATGTTCTCAATATTACAACTACTACTGGACAGGACTTGGCGTTATGAGATTGAACCAATCTTGTTGCGGCAACTCCCGGCTTTGGGTTAGACGTTTCCTCAGATCACGCCACGGCAACGACTTGTCACATGTCAGGATCCATTCGATCACGGGACATTGTGGACGCGTCGCAGTGACACTTCCAAGTGTCACGGCGAGTCGCGCCCATACCCAAACACACTAAAATTGACACGGGCTAGGTCTGTGAACTGAACCATGTGAGGAACGGCTGGCGTGCCTAGGGCCATACGGCTTCTTGGGGTGCCCATGTTGGACTCACCTGCCAAGACATACCAGTTGGCTAATCCAGCACGTTGTTGATAGGCTGGCTACCAGACGCGCTCTGCACCAGCTCTGTAAGGGCGTATTTTTGCGCTTTTTACAGAGTTTACTCTCGAACCATTTGGTGTATCGTGTCGCGGTTGACAGTGTTGCGCTCAGTAGGGCTTAAGGGTCTACTGCCCAGTCGACAACTGTGGATAGTGTCAACAATAGCAAGGCAGTCAGACCACTACTGTGGAATTGGTCTTATGAGTCTATACCAGGCTCAGGGCTATTAGTGACGAACGCTGGGACCGCGACAATTCCCCAAAAGGGATCTTTGTTGTGGCGACTTCTCAAAAAGGGTCATTCTCTGCAGATGAGAACTTGGGCTGAAGGGCTGAGTATTGAGTGGAACGAACGACTGACTTCTCTCCTCTATTACATGTTTTTTAAATACCATTTCTCACTATTAATTGATGAGCAGCTGGGACGAGCGAGGTGCGACAGGAGATGAGCTCCGGCTCATCTCCATGACCACCTCGCCCTGTCCACGAGGCTCCGGCTCGGTGTTTGCCTCCGAACGTGTTGTCTTCGCAATACTCCCCCTCAAACCCGAGCCATGCCGAGTCTTTGTACTTGTTCCAGGTGTTGTTGGGTTGCGAGGGGTTTTGTGAATATGTCCGCAAGATTGTCTGTTGACGCGCAGTGGGAAATAGATACCTCATTGTTCTCGGCTCGTTCACGAATGAAGTGATGTCGAATATCGATGTGTTTCAAACGGGCGTGGTAGCCCGCATTGAACGTGAAGTCGATGGCGCCGCGGTTATCGACCAGAATGGGGAGTGGTGATGGAGGTGAGAGTCCGAGCTCGGTGAATAGGGACTTGATCCACATGCTCTCTCGAACAGCATGTGACAGGGCCACGTACTCCGCTTCCATGGTGGAAAGGGCCACTGTAGGCTGCTTTTTTGATGACCACGTCGTGATTCCCCCGGACATTGTAGTCACATATCCCGAGACTGACCTCCGGTCATCCAAGTCATTGCCCCAATCTGCGTCCGTGTATAGTTGGGGTTGTGAGAAATCAGTGTGCGTGGTTATTTGCTGGCCCGACGTCGCAGAGTATGTTATCCCGAGGTTGGGTACTCCCCGAAGGTATCTATACACGCGTTTGACAGCGGTGAGGTGTGCCGGTCCAGGGTTCTGGTTAAATTTCGACAGAGTCTGGACCGCAAAAGCTATGTTGGGACGGGTTGTGATTGCTGCATACATCAGTCCTCCGACCATTGATTGGTAGACGCGTTTGATTTCTGGGTGCTCTTCTCCTCTTGGCAGCTTGTCAAGCCGTACATTTGGGTCCATAGGAGTTGAGACTGGGTTCAAGTTCTCCATCCCCTGTTGCGCTAGTATTTTTTGAATATAGTTGCATTGACTTATCGTGATTGTTCCCTTTGTCCGGTCCCGGTGGATCTCCATCCCCAGGAGTTGTTTTACTTCTCCTAATTTCTTTATGTCAAAAGATTTTTCCAGCTCGTCTTCTGTTCTTCTGATCAGTGATCAATTCGTGGCGTATATGGACATATCGTCCACATGGACAGCAACGATTGTAATGGCCTCCGATTGCCGCCGGATGTAGACGCATCGATCGGATAGAAGCCGATGGAACCCCATTTCTTTGAATCGCGCATCCAGGGTCTGGTTCCAGGCCCTTCCAGCCTGTTTCAAGCTGTAGAGCGTCTTCCACAGCTTCAGCACTCTGCCCGTTCCATCGTCGAATCCCTCCGGCTGCCTCATGTAGATCTCCTCCTTCAACTCTCCGTTCAAAAACGCTCCCTTGACGTCTACCATGGCCATTTCGAGGTTATACTTGGCCGCCAGTGCGAACAGCAATCGATTCGTCTCTGCACGTACCACTGGGGAGGATATCTGGTCCGGGTTGTAGTCTGTTCCCGGGATTTCTGTGTTGCCCATGACAACCAGTCTTGCTTTGCGCCCTGCCACTTTGCCTTGCTCGTTCCTCTTTGTTTTGTACACCCACTTGCACCCCAGTGCTCGTCTCCCTTCTGGTAAGTCCACAAGTTCCATCGTTCCGGTCTCCCATAATTGATCATGCTCTTTTTCCATCGCTTCCTGCCATTCTCTTGCATATGGGCTCTCCTTTGCTTGTCTGGGTGTTGTCGGGTCCACTACCGCCACGTTCACGACGTCTTCTCTTGGTACTCGATGTCTCCATGCATCTGGCTGGTTTGGGGACTGATTTGCTGGGTTCTGTAGCTCCCTGAATGTTTCGTCGGCTCCCTCTCTCGCTGCCTGATGCCTTGTCCGGGGTCCCGGTAGGATGTTCCTCTCGTCTATCCGGCTCGATATATCGTTCTTTGCTCTTGACGGCTCATATTGGTGAAGCTGTGGCGAGTCGGGCGGCGTCGTGAGAGGGGACCCAGGTGGTGTAAGTGTCGGCACCAGGGGCGCTCTTTCCGGTGCGTCCTGTTCCTTGTTTTCTCCTTCCTTTATTGGTTCGTGCTCGCTCCCTGCTTCTGCTTTTACTGATGTTGGTCCAGTCTCTCCCCCTTCATCCGCTTCCCTTCTTCTCTCCTCCCCCTTGAGCCAAACCGGACTGTCTGGTGGTTGTCGTCCTGGGATGTATTCCCCCTCCCCCGTTTCGAATATGACATTTCTTGATTTTAGGACCTTCCGTGTTCCCACAACTTGGTAGCGCCATGCCCGGGATTCCTCTGATATGCCCACAAAACGGTGAGCTTTTGACTTTGGGGCTAGCTTGCCTTCATTGACACCTTGCACCAGGACCCAGCATCTTCTGCCAAACTCCTGTAGCATCGACACATCAGGTTTTTCCCCCCAGAAGGCTTCGTGGGGTGTCTGATTTGTCTGTAGCGCAGTTGTTGGTGATTGATTCAGCATATACACTGCGTATCCCAGTGCCTCTGGCCACAAAAAGTGTGGTGCATCGTGTGCTGCTATCATGGCCCGCCCTTTCTCGAGTATTGTTCGGTTCAGCCTCTCCGCCACGCCATTCTGCTGAGAAGAGTAAGGTGCTGTCTCCTCTATCCGTATACCTTTCTGATGCAGCCTCCTCCAAAGTGTTCCGACCACATACTCTCCACGGTTGTCGAACCTGAATGCCTTGCATTGTTTTCCTGTTTGGGTGAGTACAAATTCCACATAGCTCATCACTTCCTCTTCTACTTCAGACTTTCTCCGAAGCATGGCCACCTTCCTGTATCGGGATGCTGCATCTGTGAAGGTTATCATGAAACGTTCACCATGCACACCTGGTGTCCGGCTAGGACCCCACACATCTGTGTAAGTCATCTCCCCCACCTCCTTGAACGTCCACTGTGCTTGCTTAGGAAACGGTTCGACATGTTGCTTCCCTTGTATGCATGCTATGCATTGTTGCATTCCTGTGTCCGAGGTAAGCTCCATTCCTGTCACCATGCCCTTTTTTACTAATTCTTTGACCGCTTCTGGGTGTAAGTGGCCAAGAACTTGGTGCCACCCCATGACACTGCGTTTTGCTGTTGCCGTTGAAATGCTGAGGGCACGCTCACAAGTGAATCTACTATGAAAGTAAACCCAAGTATAAACACGTTCACACTCCTCGTAATCAGCTTCTCAGTGTGTGAAAGATGCGAGGGCTTCGGGGTGAACAGAACACCAGTATCACAACTCTCAATGGATGCAGATCAATAGTCGCGGAAGACAAAGTCGACGACAAGAATTTATATATAGTAAACAATGGTGTCTCAACCAATATCTTCTATACGAACACAACCAACACTAATCCAATCCACAGCCAACAATATAACAAGTCAGAACTTAATACAGAGTATTAAGATCCCTTGTAGCGACAGCGTCCAGATGGCGACGCAAAGCCTAAATATCGAGTCAACGCACTGCCAACTGATACAACCAAGATACTGTGTCAATGCACTGCCAACTAGTAGAACCAAAATGTCAAGTCGACGCACTGCCAACTGACACAACCAAAGTACTGAGTCGACGCACTGCCAACTAGTAAACCAAAATGCCGCGTCGATGCACTGCCAACTAACAGCCAATATCCAATGTCCAAAACCCGAGCACAACTTGTCGACGCACTGCCAAGCAAGAAGTGTGGAACCAAAGTTCTCAAGTCGACGCACTGCCAACTGACCAAAACAACCCGAGCACAACTAGTCGACGCACTGCCAAGCTAGAGGTGTGGAACAATCTCAACAAAGCCCAAAGGGCGACGACACTAAATGCCGCGACTAAAACCAGATGCGGCGAATCCGACTTTCTGATATCTCAACTCAAACTCAAATCACAGTAGCTACAAGTGCTCAGGGAGCAACTCGTCGCGACCGGGCAGGGGTAGCAGAACTTCTTAGGGTGGAATCACGCGACACGCAAATTGTACAAAACAATCTGAAATGAGAGTGATTCACAGTCCGGGGAAAAGCTTTCTAATACAAAGAAACGACGTGCTACTTATACTGTCTACGACGATGCTTAGTAAAGTCCTGTACAACTGCACAGTAGCTACGCTATCTAAGATCAGTTTCTTTTTAGAGTAATCGAAAAGTTGGACGATCGGACAGGTCCTGAGTGATCAGGACCCCGCCCCATAGTCCATATGATACTTTTGATGTGGGTCAACCCACCGCGTCATACTTTTGGAATACGACGTGTTGGATTGGCCGACGGGTATGTCTTGGCAAGTGAGTCCAACGTGGGCGCCCCAAGAAGCCGTATGGCCCTAGGCACGCCAGTCGTCCCTCACATGGTTCGGTTCACGGATCTAGCCGTGTCGATTTTAGTGTGTTCGGGTATGGACGCGACTCGCCGTGACACTTGGAAGTGTCACCACGATGCGTCCACAATGTCCCGTGATCGAATGGATCCTGACATGTGACAAGTCGTCGCCGTGGCATGATCTGAGGAAACGTCCAACCCAAAACTGGGAGTTGCTGCGACAAGATCGGTTCAATCTCGTAACGCCAAGTCCTGTCCAGTAGTAGTTGTATTATTGAGAACGTCGCACATTGCTCAGTATTGCGAAGACAACACGTTCGGAGGCAAACACTGAGCCGGAGCCTCGTGGACAGGGCGAGGTGGTCATGGAGATGAGCCGGAGCTCATCTCCTGTCGCACCTTGCTCGTCCCAGCTGCTCATCAATTAATAGTGAGAAATGGTATTTAAAAAACATGTAATAGAGGAGAGAAGTCAGTTGTTCGTTCCACTCAATAGGTTATGGGCCCCGGACCCCAGAAAACCTCGCACATCTAAGAAAGAAGAAACACACTCCCTCCCAACACGGACACATGCAGCTCGACGAGAACATGACAGACAACTCAGCATACCGGATCAAACCCCTCGAGAACGCAGAGTCGTATTCCTCATGGAGCACGAAGATGATCAACATTCTGATGGACCAGGACCTCGATGACTATGTAATCGGATCAAAACAGACTCAGCCCACTGTATCGAGCGACACAGCAGGAGCCGTAGTGATGGAAGGATGGAAGAAGAAGCAGAGGAAGGCCCTCTCAGCAATCAGGCTCAGAGTCGGGGATGGACCGATGGCATACATCCAAGCATGCACAACAGGCATCAACGCGTGGGTTCGACTCCAACGCGTGTACCAGCCGAAGGGAGCTATTTCGATCATCCGACTCAGGAGGCAACTCTTCCGAACCACGTGTGAAGAAGAAGAAAATATCGAGGAACATATTTGAAAACTCACCCAAATGCGGACGGGTCTCCAGAACTTTGGACAAACAATCAAAGAAGCAGAATTTGCTATCATCATCCTCACATCGCTCCCAGAATCATGGGACAATTGGGTAAATGGGATTGACCTAACAACCATCAAGGAATCCGAGGAAATCATTGCCCGAATCATCCAACAATCAGGGCGATCTCATGCCCGACCGGACTCACTCACAGAGACAGCGCTTCCAGCATTCGGGAGGCCAAAGACTGCAGCAGGCACCGGGGAAGGCTGTTTCCACTGTGGATGACCAGGCCATTGAATTGCTGAATGCCGGGACCAACAGAATGGCAGGACATACACGGATCAGCAACGAAATGGGAACGCGCAGCGATACTTCCAGAACAAGAACGACTACATGGGAAGACAATCAAATGTCAATATGGTTACTGAAACAACCAGCGAGGACATTGTCTTTATGGCATATGAAACAAAACCACTTGGCCCAGACTCATGGCTACTAGACAGCGCCGCAAGCGTACACATTTCTGATAATAAATCTCTTTTTTCATCCTATGAATCGCTAAAGAACCACAAAATTATAGGTATTGGATCGAGATCAGCAGAGGGCCAGGGCACTGTACAGTTGGTATTCGAAGTAAGGGGGAGGACTACGAATGTCACACTGGAACGAGTACTGTATCTCCCTTCATCCCCCTATAACATCATCTCTCTAGGAAAGCTCCATCGAGCTGGGCACCGGGTTGACTTCCCCCTAGGAGGACCCAAAGTTGCCGTCTACTCAGAGCAAGGAGTCAAGATTATGCAGGGCAGGAACATCGACAATATTTACGCTCTGGAGAATGTCACCCCAAAAATATCACCCCCTACCAACGACCATGTTCTCACGGTGATAGGCTGGCTACCAGACATGCTCTGCACCAGCTCTGTAAGGGCGTATTTTTGCGCTTTTTACAGAGTTTACTCTTGAACCACTCGGTGTATCGTGTCGCGGTTGACAGTGTTACGTTCAGTAGGGCATAAGGGTCTACTGCCCAGTCGACGACTGTGAATAGTGTCAACAATAGCAAGGCAGTCAGACCACTACTGTGGAAATGGTCTTATGAGTCTACACCAGGCTCAGGGCTATTAGTGACGAACGCTTGGGCCGCGACAATTCCCCAAAAAGGGATCTTTCGTTGCGGCGACTTCTCAAAAGGGTCATTCTCTGCAGATGGGAACTTGGGCTGAAGGGCTGAACAATGTGCGACGTTCTCAATAATACAACTACTACTGGACAGGACTTGGCGTTACGAGATTGAACCGATCTTGTCGCAGCAACTCCCAGTTTTGGGTTGGACGTTTCCTCAGATCATGCCACGGCGACGACTTGTCACATGTCAGGATCCATTCGATCACGGGACATTGTGGACGCATCGTGGTGACACTTCCAAGTGTCACGGCGAGTCGCGTCCATACCCGAACACACTAAAATCGACACGGCTAGATCCGTGAACCGAACCATGTGAGGGACGACTGGCGTGCCTAGGGCCATACGGCTTCTTGGGGCGCCCACGTTGGACTCACTTGCCAAGACATACCCGTCGGCCAATCCAACACGTCGTATTCCAAAAGTATGACGCGGTGGGTTGACCCACATCAAAAGTATCATATGGACTATGGGGCGGGGTCCTGATCACTCAGGACCTGTCCGATCGTCCAACTTTTCGATTACTCTAAAAAGAAACTGATCTTAGATAGCGTAGCTACTGTGCAGTTGTACAGGACTTTACTAAGCATCGTCGTAGACAGTATAAGTAGCACGTCGTTTCTTTGTATTAGAAAGCTTTTCCCCGGACTGTGAATCACTCTCATTTCAGATTGTTTTGTACAATTTGCGTGTCGCGTGATTCCACCCTAAGAAGTTCTGCTACCCCTGCCCGGTCGCGACGAGTTGCTCCCTGAGCACTTGTAGCTACTGTGATTTGAGTTTGAGTTGAGATATCAGAAAGTCGGATTCGCCGCATCTGGTTTTAGTCGCGGCATTTAGTGTCGTCGCCCTTTGGGCTTTGTTGAGATTGTTCCACACCTCTAGCTTGGCAGTGCGTCGACTAGTTGTGCTCGGGTTGTTTTGGTCAGTTGGCAGTGCGTCGACTTGAGAACTTTGGTTCCACACTTCTTGCTTGGCAGTGCGTCAACAAGTTGTGCTCGGGTTTTGGACATTGGATATTGGCTGTTAGTTGGCAGTGCATCGACGCGGCATTTTGGTTTACTAGTTGGCAGTGCGTCGACTCAGTACTTTGGTTGTGTCAGTTGGCAGTGCGTCGACTTGACATTTTGGTTCTACTAGTTGGCAGTGCATTGACACAGTATCTTGGTTGTATCAGTTGGCAGTGCGTTGACTCGATATTTAGGCTTTGCGTCGCCATCTGGACGCTGTCGCTACAAGGGATCTTAATACTCTGTATTAAGTTCTGACTTGTTATATTGTTGGCTGTGGATTGGATTAGTGTTGGTTGTGTTCGTATAGAAGATATTGGTTGAGACACCATTGTTTACTATATATAAATTCTTGTCGTCGACTTTGTCTTCCGCGACTATTGATCTGCATCCATTGAGAGTTGTGATACTGGTGTTCTGTTCACCCCGAAGCCCTCGCATCTTTCACACACTGAGAAGCTGATTACGAGGAGTGTGAACGTGTTTATACTTGGGTTTACTTTCATAGTAGATTCACCTGTGAGCGCGCCCTCAGCATTTCAACGGACTCCCAGACAACGATGGGAATCGGAACAAAATGGTGAATTCATGTGCTGTACAAGCACTCAAGGAGAGGTTCTTTTGCTAGCAAAAAGATCCTGGGCCTAGCTCTTCACATGCCCAATGATCCCGAGGTGCGTTTTCCCGAAGGTCTCCGCAGCACTCTTTGTAGCTACCGTAAGGCTTGGGTCGGGCTCAACGTTACCCGTGGCCTGGTGTTGTTTGCTCGAGATGAACCCTTCACTGTGATTGCAGAGAACAACTAGATGATTCGGTAGAAGGGTAAGTGAGATAATAAGGGTGAAGAGGATATAGCGGGCATAGCGGTGAGGGATGCAGGGGTAAGAGGTATGAGGTAGGAGGATATGAGGGGAGTCTTCGAATTATATGACAATCAACCCAAAAATAAAGTCGAAAAGAGAAGTGAATTCAAAGACTGGAGAATACAACCAAGTAGCTACAGTATTTATACCCAAATCCAGTCTGAGTCATATCTACAACTAATGAGTCATAAGGCTATGTACCGCATGGAGCACTGGTCATGGGTTGTAGTAGAATCTTCCGGAGCATGTGTCGCACAGCCTCAAATTGATAGAGATAATCCCGGGAACCCCTAGCCCGGACCGTCTGGCCATGATCCGTGATAAGATAAGTCGTGCCAAGATAAGATGAGATCATTGATGATAAGATGAAAAAGTGGCCAAACTATGACAAAGGATCCATGTGCCCAGGTGTCACACTATATAGTCAGCTGTGACAAGTGACTGATGATGATGGGATATCACTGCCATGGGACAATGGCAGATGACAAGTAGATAATGACAAACCCAGATAAGATAGTGAGTGGCTCAGAGGGGCCAGTGATGGCTGTCGCAGACAATACCGCGCAGTGGAGATACGACCAGTAGCGATCACCTATAAGACAGAGTCTCAGCGAGTGTAGAGACACAGGAGCTATATCATTAGCTGTACCTATAAGACAGAGTCTATGGTACAAGTCATAAGTAAGGTCATTAGATCGTAAGGGAGAATGCATACCTCAGCGAGTGTAGAGACACAGGAGCTGAGGATATGGAGCGTATAGTACTAGGTTTATATACCAGTCTGGAGCAGATATCATGATGTCATAGTGGAGTAATGATATCATAGATGAGTAATGGATGACGCAATAATGATGTCAGGTATGAGGTCATTGTGGAGCGAGCCAAAGTAATCTAAGAATACTACTTATGATGTCATGTCTACATACTGTGATAGTCGCTAATACAAACAAGCTTCAACACTCCCACTCGACTAAACAGTCGGATCACGAAGACCCAAAGACAGCCGATGTTGTTGGAACTTCACCCATGCCAGAGACTTTGTGAGCGTGTCGGAGATCATCGCATCAGTCGGCACATGGTAAAGTTGGACATTGCCAGCTTCGACGGATTCTCGTACGAAGTGATAGCGGATGTCGATGTGCTTCGTCCTCCTATCATGAACTGGATTTACTGCCATGAAAATAGCGCCTTGGTTATCAACACAAAGAGGCGTGGATGGCAAGTCATATCCGAGCTCAGTCAACAAAGTGCGGATCCAGGCAATCTGGCGCGTAGCATCGCTCAGAGCCATGTATTCGGCCTCTGTTGAGGACAAAGCGACCGTGGGTTGGCGTCTAGAAACCCAGGTCACTGCACAACCGGCGATGAAGAAGGAATATCCCGTGGTTGAATGCCTGTCGTCTTTGTTCTCCGCCCAATCAGCATCGGAATAACCGATAAGGCCTGCGCCAGTGGAACCATCATAGCAAAGTTGGTAGTTTTTGGTGCCCTGAAGGTACCGGAGTATGTATTTTGCCATGTTCCAATGATGTTCTGACGGGTTGCTGTTGAACTTTGATAGACGGATGACTGCATAGGCAATGTCGGGGCGAGTACCAAGCATGGCGTATAGAAGGCTGCCAATCAGTTGCTGGTATCGGGTACGACGGTCTTCATCAACTTCTCCATCATGCTTCTCGAGCACGATGCCGGAAGGCAGGGGAGTACGAGCTTCTTTGCACGAAGACATCCGGAAACGTTCTAGAACTCCTTCGATATAGGAAGCCTGATCGATCCAGATTTTACGCGCTTTGCGATCACGAACTATGTTCAGACCAAGGAAATCCTTTGCAGGACCGAGATCTGTCATTTTGAAGCGATTCGCGAGCAAGGATTTGATACGCGCTATCTCCGGCAGATTGTTGCCCATAATGAGCATATCGTCAACATACAGCACCAAGATGATGACCGTATCTCCCATTTGTTGGCGATATGTGTAGACACCGGCGTCGGAGTATGTCCGAGCAAAACCAAGTTCGAGGAGGGCATTGTGGATTTTGATATTCCACTGACGAGACGCCTGTTTCAACCCATAGAGTGATTTACGAAGGCGTGCCACCTTTTCTTTTGGCCATGACGAGAAACCTTTGGGTAATTCCGGAAGTTCCATATAGATTTCTTCCTCCAGATCCCCGTTTAGGAATGCCGTTTTGACATCCATGGCATGAATCTCCCAATCTTCGAGAGCAGCCAGAGCCATAAGTATGCGCAGAGATTCGTAGCGCAATACTGGCGAGAAGGTCTCATCATAGTCAAACCCATGAACCTAAGTGAATCCCTTGGCAACAAGTCGTGCTTTGAAACGACCGTCACGCTTCCTGCTAAACACCCATCTGCATTTGACAGTCTTTCGACCGCGTGGAAGGCTGGTCAAATCCCAAGTACAGTTTTCCTCGAGAGAGTCCAGTTCTTCGCGCATTGCGCGCTCCCACTTGAGTGCATCCGGGCTCTTTGCTACGTCCCGCACGTTCTGAGGCAAGTCATGCTCAGCTTGGGCAGCTGATAACATGGACTCAATGCTGCTAGGCCTCTGATACGTAGTTCCATCCGGCATAATGCGGGGCTTATTCCGACGAGGGCGGCGATGGGCAATCGGGCGATCGTCTATCGGGCCAGGCATTAGGGGTACTTCTCGCGATCCCGTGACAGGACCTTGTTGCGCGAGGGGTGCCGGTGGCGGTGGGAGAGCAGGAGGTGGTATGCTTGCATAAGGCGTTGCAGGCGCAGGATTATTGATAAGGTCAGGGAAGGTTTCCTCGAATGGTGTGAACGGCTCCGGTCCAGAGGACACATTGCCGGTGACTAGCTTGGACTTGGCAGGGAATACTCGCTCATCGAACTCAACATTTGAAGAGACTCGTATCTTGCGTTGATTCGGATCCCACACTTTCCAAGCTTTTGTCTCTCGTTCGTATCCAACGAAGATGTGGTCGGGGCGTCCATGCTCCAACCCTTTCGGGCGTTTTTCAACATCCACATAGAGAGACGCCTTGCATCCAAACACACAGAAATAAGAGACGTCTGGCTTCTTTCCAAGCCACAGTTCCGCAGGTGTTTGCCATCCCAATCGTGCCATAGGTTGTCTATTATGAACATGGACAGATGCATCCATAGCACATTGCCAGAAGCCTTTGGATAGGCCGGCATCGAGGCGCATGCATTCCGCTTTCTCGTAGGCTGTGCGATTCCAACGTTCAGACCTCCCATTTTGCTGTGGTTCACGTGGCGCGGACTTAGGGTGCATAATACCACGTGCATTGAGCCAGGCTGTGAGTTCATCGGACATATATTCGCCTCCACGATCTGACCGGAAGGCCAGTACTTTTGTGCCAAGCTGACGCTCTGTAAGGGCAACAAAGTTTTTAATCGCAGTAGAGGCTTGGTCCTTTGATTTAATGAACACCATCATGCCGAAGCTCGAGAAATCGTCGTAGAACGAAATTGTGTAGCGTGAACCTTCCAACGACTGAGTAGGCCAGGGGCCCATCAAATCAGTGTGGATAAGCTCGAGGGGTTTGCTAGCACGTTTCTCTGATGCAGGGTACGGATGCTTGTGCTGTTTTCCAAGCATACATCCATCGCACATGCCGCGCTGGTCTTTATTGCGTCGCAAGGGGGGAACACCTTCAACTTGTGTCGGCAAGTGAGAAAGGGTCCTCCGAGCCGCATGACCAAAACGCTTATGCCACAATTCACGATCGGTAGTTTCCAGGGAAGCGAGCGCGGTAGACTCGTGAGATGCAGACACAGATGGTGCCACAAGCTCCTCGGGGTAGTACCAGTAGCAGCGATTGCTTGCTTTAAAGGTCATCAAGACATCCCCATGCGCTTTTCCCTTGTTGAGCCAATCCTTGGTGACTAGGATTGCCTTGTTGTCACCAACCACGGTGTAGTAACCAGCCTGATCGAGCGCATACCCAGAAAGATAGCGCCCTCTTATGTGCGGGTTGTAGATGACATCCTTCAACGTGAAGGTGTAGTCCATGCCACTACTAGTATGACCCCGCAACACAATATCTCCAACGGCTTCATTCCTGAAGCGAGCTCCCGACCCAACGACTACATAGGTGTCGATAGGTCTGATGTTGTGAAGATCGGATCGGGTGTTTGTCATATGATGCGTACAACCCGAGTCCCATAGAAAACGAACTTTGGAGTCGTCTCCCATTTCTTCAACAAAAATTCCATCATCGATGTGTTTGAGGGAGTCACTCATGAGATAGGACAAAATGTGCATTCCATTGGAGGCAGCTGCAACCGCGGGAGCGGCTACAACTTCTTTTACAGTGCTAGTACCATCACCACTCTTCTTCTCCTTCTTCTTTTTCTTCTTCCCCTCATCCTGCTTCCCCTTGCCTTTGTCAGAAGATTGACCAGTCGGCTTGAGGTTGGGATACTTCTTGTAGCAGGATGCCGCAACGTGACCGGACTTGTTACAATGAGTGCATCGGGTGGCGAGGGACGGAACGGTGGAAATCTTCGAGTTCGACGTCGTGTCGAGGTTCTCGATCTTGATATTCCCTATGACGCTGTTCTTGACATCGACTGGGTTCAGAGAAGCGATAGGACGATTGGCCAGGTAAGAGGTGACGAAACCTCTGCTGGAAGCGGGCAAGGCGGCGAGCATTAGAGTTGCGAAGAGGTAGTCGGGGATCTCAATTCCTCCTTCCGAACACTGGCGACGACGAGTCTCCATTTCCATGATTTGTTTTTCAATGGTGTCACCACCATGGAAGGTGGTGGTGTTCAGGAGGCGGTACTCGACGAAAGCATCGATGGCATTTGGTTGACCATAATCTGTCGCCATCTTCGCAAAAACCTCGCGCGCAGTGCGCTCCCGCTGACCGTCCATAAAGATTCCCTTGCGCAGATTCTGAGTGATATAAACCCGCGCAAGACCCAGTGCCTTTTCATTGGCAACGTCCCATTGATACTGGCTGTCGCCAGCCGTTCCAGGACGCTCCATAGAACCAGGGTTCGAGGTAGATGTGCCGTTAACCATAATATGAGTGGGTTTAACCACTCCCCAGGTGCCCTGATGCATGCAGATGCTCATGTAGTTGTCCGACCACGTATTCCAATTGGTGCCATCGAAGACACTCAGAATGGAGTTGTTGAGCTTCTCGATTCCCGACATGGTGGGGAGATACTCGATAACGTCGGCGGTTTGGTAGTGAAGAGAGGGGAATTCGATATAGGGAGGATCACCAAATAGAGATCGAAGTTCTGGAGTCCAATTCTCTTGGTGATGGAAGAACTCTTCGTTGTCGTGTTCTCCAAGATCGTATAGATCCCTCCAATCGGCGTCTTGGAGAGGAATGTAAGGAGGTCCCTGAGCCCAGCGGACAACAGGAAATAGGATAACCCCAACGGGAGGGTCGTCTGGTGATGACAGGGTGATAGAGATGAAGACTAGAGCGACGAAGTCAGCCCCAGATTCTCTGCAGACCAAGAAACAAATCCCAAGTGCCAAATCTCTGAAACGAGAACGACCAAGCGTCCCCATCCCATCCATGATGCCCATATACGCGTGGGGAATGATAACGAAATAAAGCGGTATAGTAAGTGCCCATATTTATATCAAAGTAACGTAACTATATACGTCAGCGGCGGCAGTACCCAACGGTGATTACTGCCCTCGCAGTCCGTCACTGGCCAAGGGACACGTGCCCAAGGCCGTCCCAAGCACCGGGTTTGGCCGCCCATCTTCTCCCTTTTAAAGACATGCATACACGCAGAGCGTCATTGCATGAATCCTCGTAGTGTCACCAGCCCGCAGGGTCCCTTGTGAGGAATGCGAGTCAACCCCGAAGGATTGTTTTGCCTGGCGGAGGGATTGACCTCCAGCAGCTGTTGAGAGCTACCACACCACCTAGGCGCTTCGCGCAAGGTTCAGGAGTGGGATTGACCAAAGGACCAGTGCCTGGTGGGTATGTCCGCTGTACAATAAAAAGATGTAACGTAAAACGCGCGCGAGCAATCATGGACGGAATAGCTAACGGCGCGTCTGCCAACTGAATGACTCCCTGACGCCGCTCGCGTAACCCCTTGAGGGTGAGAGCACAAATGCGAGGACCAACATCCAGCAAGTGGGACGAGCGCACAAAGACGGCGCTCTAGAAGGGCTGAACGAGTGAAAGATACTCGCCTTAGTAAAGGGAGTAGTTCGATGTTTCTTGATTTGCCGCTAGTGGTTCAGGCGGGGCCCATAACCTGTCGCAGACAATACCGCGCAGTGGAGATACGACCAGTAGCGATCACCTATAAGACAGAGTCTCAGCGAGTGTAGAGACACAGGAGCTATATCATTAGCTGTACCTATAAGACAGAGTCTATGGTACAAGTCATAAGTAAGGTCATTAGATCGTAAGGGAGAATGCATACCTCAGCGAGTGTAGAGACACAGGAGCTGAGGATATGGAGCGTATAGTACTAGGTTTATATACCAGTCTGGAGCAGATATCATGATGTCATAGTGGAGTAATGATATCATAGATGAGTAATGGATGACGCAATAATGATGTCAGGTATGAGGTCATTGTGGAGCGAGCCAAAGTAATCTAAGAATACTACTTATGATGTCATGTCTACATACTGTGATAGTCGCTAATACAAACAAGCTTCAACAATGGCTAGCTCCTGAGACACCAACAGTGGAAGGCCACACAGGAGGAGCCCAGTGGCCAGGCCAGTGCCGGGCCGGCCAGTGGAGACATTGGAGGTGAGGACCAATGCCCAACTGGGAAGAGGGGTGGTGCGGATGAGCGCAAGGGCATCTGGTACAAGCCCGTATGGCAGTAGACCACATCCACGGGAAGAAGGCCAAAGTAGAGGGGGAGGAGTGCGTACGGCAGTAGCACTCCAATGTGACAATCAACAAGAAATAATGTTGAAAAGAGAAGTCAATTCGAAGACTGGAGAATATAACCAAGTAGCTACAGTATTTATACCCAAATCCAGTCTGAGTCATATCTACAACTAATGAGTCATAGGGCTATGTACCGCATGGAGCGCTGGTCATGGGTCCCTAGACCCCTAGCCCGGACCGTCAGATGCCGTGATCTGTGATAAGATAATCCGTGCCAAGATAAGATGAGATTGTCGATGATAAGATGATAAAGGGTTGAACTATGACATCCCTGGTCCAAGGAATCAGGCTTGGCTAGACCGCTTGCGGGGATTCAGAGGAGATGCTGGGGGAAGGAGGAAGAGGGCAGATGTTGGCATGGATGGAGATGAGGATCGGAGGAGGAGGAGGCTAGGTGATTGATAGGTGAGCAGGCATGGGTCGGCAGAGAGGGCGCAGTGGGTCACGTGCATGGTCACGTGCCCAAGGAGCACAGCGTCCCCTGACACTTGGCCATTTTAGGAAGCACAAGATACATTTGGTATTTTAGAGCCTAGAACAAGATTATTTACATTATACAAGACATAGTAGCATTATATACAGTTAGTAGTTGATCCAATAGTAGTTGTTCTCCTTGAGCTGAACCAGCCGGTGAGGGAAAGATTCATACAAATGAATGACATACTCCTTGAAGGAGTCCGACTTCCACACCTCCTGCGCAAGCTCAAAAAGCTTGGCGGTGGTCCAGATTTGGTTGTAGCGGGGGTGGGAATGAGTGCATTGCTTGAGCTCTGCCCACGCGTTCTCAATTGTTGACATGTCAGGTGACTTGGCAGGCCATGGGAAGACATTGATCTGGTTGTCACAAAAGAACACCTTGGCAAGCTTTGAGGTGTGTTTCAGGTCGTTGTCCTGCTGGAAATACAAGAATGCGTGCCGGCGGTTCTCATAGTACTCATAGACAGGGATCATGGCACGGGTCAAGATGTTGATATATTGGGGAGCAGTGAGGTTGTCAATAACAAGTACAAGGTCGCTGACACCCTTGGGATGGATAGCGCCCCAAACATTGATCTTGAAGTTGAATTTCCTGTGTTGTTCCTCAATCTGGACGCGGTGAGGATCCATCACACTGTTGCCCCAACAAAGACGACACCAGCGCTTGTTGATCAAATATCATCTGTCAAGATGGATGTCGTGATACATATCTATGGCTCCATCACGTGTCATCTAGAGTCATATCGACTCGTCCCAAATAGACACAAACGGCCCCCTGTATCATATATAAGGAGGGCTCTATTACCCTTTAATACAAGTCTCTTGACTACTCCCGCATAGTGCCCACACTAAGCTCTCAACTCACACAGGTGGGTTGCTAGACGCTCTCCCCAGTGCTCAACAGGTTATGGGCCCCGAGAGCTATGTCTGCGCCTCAATGGCCGCGACATTCATTGTATGCGCCGTCACTGGCTGCAACGATGAGCAGCGTCTTTAGCCTATCTGTATTCACTTCAGCTGCTGCACAGCGCTGGTGAAACCATGCCGGATCGCGATTACATCGCTTGATCCAGATGCATCGATCTCTCAAGGAGATTATGATCTATGAGAATCTGATCATCTTGATCTTTGATTTTATCTATCAGATTAGATTGATGCTGATTAACTCACATAGATCAATATGTCGTCCAACTCCAACAACATCTTCAATGCTGTCTCCATCTTTGATGGAAAGCACTGGCTCGTATGGTCCGGAACTATGGAGTCCTACCTGGAACATCAGGGGATCTCATATGTGCTGACCGAAACGGCGCCGACTGAAGTCAAAGCTACCGATGGCTCTGTGACCAACGCATCGGAGATCAAGCAATGGAAGCATGATGATCTCAGGGCGAAGGGCAGCATTAAGTTGCGCCTGACTGAGGGAGTCATTGCCAACATTCCAACCGCCAACATAGTGTCAGCTGCCAAGATCTGGGAGCACCTGAAGACCCAGTACGGTGGTGCTCAGTGCGCCGACCTGTACGCGTACTTCCAAACCGCGTTGAACGCCAAGTACAACGTGGGGTTGCACCCTGATCCACAGCTGCTGGTGATCACTACGGCGTTCGCTCGCCTGGAGAACGAGTCTTTGAGCATCCCTGAGTTCCTCAGAGCGATGATCATTCTCAACATAGCCCGGATTCCCTCTGTCACGGAGACTGTTCTACAGACTTATGACAAGGACGAGATCAAAGTCTCGGCGGTTCGTGACGCTCTCTTGACGCATTTCGCTCAGAAGCAGTCTCAAAGCCAGAATCATGTGGCCAAGTTCAATACCAAGCGCAAACGCGATGACCCTTCGTTCACCAATCAGCAACAGGGCTCTGGCTCTGCACCCGATAAGGGTGATAAGGCTGATGGAAAGAAGAAGAACCGTCGAGGCAAGCGCAGTGGGAAGAACAAGGACAACAAGGGCAAGGGCAAGGCTGATCACAGTCATGTCCATGGAGTCTCCGAGATCACTGGCTCCCTCACTATTGGTTCGATCGCCTCGCTCACTCCGTCTATCCCTGCGCCGACTATCTCGCATGTCACGCACATCTCTCGCGATGGACCCAAAATCCGCGCGGTTCAAGAGAAGTCTCCCGTTAACAACAATGGGATTATTGACACCGAGTTCCAGAAGCCTACTCGTAAGGTCTTCGAGCTGGCCAAGAAGATGGACGTGACGGTGACCGCAGAACGCTTCCGGACTCTCGACAAGATCGTCAATGAGAAAGGAATGCTCCGCGAGGACGCAATCATGCGTTCTCCATCTCCGGTTGCTTCTGGCTCGAATCACACGCTGGATGGTGGTCCTCCTGCCAAACGCAGTCGTATCGAGGAGATCCCCGACGTCGAGATGGCCACCGGCCAACAGAACGATCTTGATCTTCTGTTTGGAGATAGCGAGTTCGCCCAGGCTGAACCGGTCAATTGGGATGAAGTCGTCGACTTCAACACCCTTCTGGAGGAGATGGACGCTCCTTCCGCCGAAAGGCAAGTACCCTGCCTTCTTGGGCACATGCACAATTCTGATTGTTGCTCACAGCCAGAGCGCGTAATCACCGCCGCCCCGGGTTCTGTACTTAATTCGTTGATGATTCGTTCGCATGTTTTTTGTACCAATCTATTCTGTGTGCACTCCGATTTTGCTGCCTGCTCTAAGTGTAAGGGGAAACATCATCATCATGAATTAGGGCCTCTATGGCTTCTTGATTCAGGTGCATCTCTCCATGTGACATCGGAGATTAGTGATCTGGTCGGATATGAGAAGCTCTCAGATCCTATTGTTGCTCAGACCGCTGATAAGAACACACGTGTTGCCCTTATTGGTCGAGGAACAGCCTTCATCGATCATTACGTCACAAGGCATGGAGAAAAGACAATGGTGACTTCTCAGATATATCCAGTGTACCTAGTGCCAGGATTACATGGTCGTCTCATGTCTTTGGGCTCCTTACTCAAAGGAGGATCTCGCGTTCGTGGAGACGAATCGCGGATCAGCTTACATCGAGGGAAGTCCCCACTCTCGATCATGGAGTTTAGAACTCTAGGGAAGGACATTGCATTGTACTTCCTGATGTCAAAGCCTAGTACGGCTGAGACAGTGCGATCCATGTCCACTGTTTACAAGGTGGATTATGAGATCATGCACCGGCGATTTGCACATCCGTCGAAAGACATTTTACGTCAGGCAAAGAAGAATACCAAGGGCTTTCCAGAAGACCTAGTATTTCCCGAGGAAACCCGACCGTGTAAAGGATGCGCGCAAGGGAAAATGCACCAACGTGCCTTCCCGCCTTCCGAAAAACGAGCGGAGAATCCGTTTGATTTGATCCACTCGGATCTCAAACAATTTCCCACGGTGTCTTATCACAAGTACCGCTACTTCATGAGCTTCTTCGACGAAGCACTCTCCTATGGCTGGACAGTATGCCTTGCGCAGAAATCCGATGCCAAGCAGGCTATGCGCAATTTCATTGCGATGGTCAAGAACCAGTTCAATGTCACCGTCAAAAAGTGGCATATTGACAATGGGGGAGAATTCATGGGGATGGGAATGGAAGAATTTCTCGCGGAACAAGGAATTCTAGTGGAGAAGGGTGCTCCATATGCTCATCAGCAGAATGGGCATGCCGAGCGCTTCAATCGTACGATCATGGATAAGGCAGAAGCCATGCGCTTCACTGCCTGTCTTCCTAATTCTTATTGGGAATTCGCTATCAAACATGCGACACGGATCTACAATATGACACCTATCAGGCGTCTAAAATGGAAAACTCCATTTGAAGCTCTTCACAAGGAAAAACCGGATGTTTCCGAACTCCGAGTCTTTGGTTGCGCTGCATATGTCTTTATCCCTGATGAGAAGCGCGCCAACAAGTTATCACCCAAATCGGAGCTGATGACCTACTTGGGCATTCCTGATGGTGTGAAAGGATTTTTGTTCATGCGCACAAACAATTCCACGTTCGTCGCCACCAAGGCATTGTTCGACGAGGAGTTGTTCCCCCGCTGTCCTGACAGCAATCGACCACCCCACGTTCCTGTTGGAGAGGAATTTCCAGAACGTGATGACCCAGTAAATCCACAAGATCCACCACAGGTAGACGGAGAAGATTGGCTATATGGAGATAATCCTTTTCCATTTCCCATGCCATCTGATCCGGCTCCACCACCTCCCGTACAGGGAAATGATGATGGTGACGACGGTCATAATCGTCAGGACCCACCGCCAGAGCGTCGGGATGAACCTCAGAGGACTCGTAGAAGTAGAATTCCACGACCAAGTCGGGAAGCTTCACCAGCTCCTGAGCCTCGAAGGTCTTCACGCCAGCGGAATGTGCCTACACGTCCAGGAAACGTCTATGGGGAAAAGCGTACCCCTACGGATATAGTCCGTGACATTCAGAACAGCAGAGGATGGAAGCGGTATGTTGGTGAAGATAAGGGTAGCTCCCAATCTCAACCATCAACCGGTGCTGATGCAGGGGTTCCCGGCCCTAGCTCGCAACCAGATTCCTCAAACGCGGGTGCTTCTGATGATCTAGACGAGGATGCACGCATGGAGAAGCTATGCCGGGAAGGGGGAGTAGAGCTCATCACGGCGCTGCTGTCGAAAGCGGTCCCAAATGAGAACCTACCTGACACGTCCAAAATTCGCGATTGGACGTTCCGCGATATCAAGCGGTTGCCTTCTGAACAACAGAAAGGTTGGATTGATGCTTGCCGCGACGAGTTAGAGGCACTTCGTCAGCGCAAGGTCTATTCCCTTGTGGACCGCCCGAAAGGACGGAAGGTTATCAGATGTCGCTGGGTCTTTGACCAAAAATCTGATGGCCGAAAACGTGCCCGCCTAGTTGCCAAGGGTTTCAGTCAAGTCGAAGGTGTTGACTATGACGAGATATTCTCTCCTGTTGTCAGGTATGAGACGTTCCGGTTGGTCATGGCGCTTGCAGCGCTCAATGATTGGCATTGGTCTGGACTCGATGTCAGTAAGGCTTTTCTCTACGGAGAGCTTGACGAAGAGGTCTACATGGAACAACCCGAAGGCTTTGTGGCGAGAGGCCAAGAGCGCAAAGTCATGCGCTTGCACAAGGCAATCTACGGACTCAAACAAGCTGCTTTAGCATGGTGGAAAGCGCTGACCAAGTCCACGAAAGCCATGGGCTGGATCCGACTAACATCGGATGCCGGCGTGTTCTTCTACAAGGACTCTGATGGCAGCATAGCCGTCATAATAGTCTATGTGGATGATGCTCTGTTCTTCTCCAAGAACAAGAAGCTCCTCGCCTTTCTCAAGGCTGAGTTCAACAAGCGATGGGAATGCCGCAATTCTGAAGATACTCCAGAGTTCTTGCGCGTGCGCCTCAGTAGAGTAGGATCTTCGATCAAGATTGATCAGATTCCTTATCTCGACAAGGTGCTAGAGCGCTTTGGGATGCAGAACGCCAAGTTCGCAGCGACCCCTCTACCGGCTGGATATGTTCCAATGCCAAATGAGGATGAAGTCGATCCAGAGCTCAGGAAGAAATTCCAATCAGTCATTGGATCTCTTCTCTTCATCATGCTAGGCACACGTCCTGACATTGCATTTGCTGTGACCAAATTGTCACAATTTGCTGCCAATCCGTCCCAAGACCACCTCCATAAAGCGCTGTATATCTGTCGCTATTTGGCTGGTACTAGGAATTATTCGCTCATTTTCAATGGTGCAACGGATAGAGGGCTAATTGCATTTAGCGATTCAGACTGGGCTGCTGATCCGATCAAGAGGAGGTCTACCACTGGTTTCTTCACGAAATTGGCAGACGGGATTATTTGCTGGCAGTCTAGACTTCAGCGCACAGTCGCGCAGTCTTCTACCGAAGCAGAGTACATGGCGATTTCAGATTGTAGTCGCCAGGTGATGTGGCTGAAGAGCGTCCTTTCGGAACTCCAGTTCAAACTCACCATCCCAGTACCCATTTGCGGTGACAATCAGGGTGCACTCTTCAGTGGCAGCAATGCCTACCGAGACCGCAGGATGAAACACATAGACATCCGCTATCACTACATTCGTGAGCGAGTCGAGGAAGAAGAGGTTGAACTGTTCTTTATTCCGGGCAGTGAGAATCCTGCAGATATGTTCACCAAGAACCTAGGACGCGTCAAGTTCGAGAAGTTCAGATCTCAACTAGGACTTGAGTTCAACTCGTCCTGAAGGAATGGCCGATGAAGATTCACTTTCAAACACTATCCCGTGGTTTTCAGCGTGGGGGAGTGTTGATCAAATATCATCTGTCAAGATGGATGTCGTGATACATATCTATGGCCCCATCACGTGTCATCTAGAGTCATATCGACTCGTCCCAAATAGACACAAACGGCCCCCTGTATCATATATAAGGAGGGCTCTATTACCCTTTAATACAAGTCTCTTGACTACTCCCGCATAGTGCCCACACTAAGCTCTCAACTCACACAGGTGGGTTGCTAGACGCTCTCCCCAGTGCTCAACAGCGCTGACCGTCCAATGACCCCAGCATCATTTTTGTCTTGTCACTGACAATCATGACACCCATCTTGAAGAACTTGGGGTCTGTCCAAGCCTCGAACTTCTTGTATATTTGCCGGCGCTGGGTGAGATGCTTGTTGGTGAGTGGCAGCTTCTGTCGTTGCGCGAAGCCAGGAAGACCGGCTTTGGTGAGTGCATCCCGGACCTGTGAGTTGGAAGGGTTAGGAAGAGCAATGCTGTAGTGACTGTGATGCACAGTGAAAGACGGGACATTGGGGAAGAGGATGCACTTCACCTGCTTGCCATCAACCAGCTCTCTGGAATCAAGCTTGTCGATGGCTTCTGTGATCTGCTCCTCCAACAGTGTCCTCTTCCTCCCACATACACCCTTCTTGCCGTTGAAGTAAAAGTTGTTGTTGTGCTCTGCAACCTTCTTCATGCTCTTAGCAAGAGCATGTGGCATGATCTTCAGTTCGCAAAAAGGGGACTTGGTACAGATCTTTGCCCATGACATGCAACATCAATTGTGCATGACGGAAGCCATGGCCCACTTGGTTGGCGTGATGACAGCATAGGTGCATTGGGTGCGTGGGGTTGTGGGAGGGGAGGGAGACATCAGAGGGAGGGAGGATGGGAGAGAGGGACCAATGAGCAAAGCTTATAGGCACAGCTTTTAAGCATACTGTACTATTTTGACCGTAGTTTCGACCCGATGACCAATGACAGCTTAGATTCGATGGTGCATAGCTTCGAGGTCTGGAATGACCAATGACAGCTGTCAGATAGCTTTGTTGTGATGTCAGCACTGGCGGCGCCCGGATCTGGTAAGGCACGAGGGAATGCACCCAATTGAAGCTGTCTTTGGGCTAAAATGCGATTGAATGTCATATTAGAACTAATCTAGCCTAGATTTGACACGATCACACTGATTAAGCTCGCTCTGTAAATATTTTTGCGCTCAAAGTCACTCAATATGACGATTTTCTTTTTTGAAATGTCATTAGCTTCAAGGCTGCGGATGACCGATGACAACCTGACATTAGGTTCGGTTTGACACCCCCGATGACCGATGACACGAATCTACGGTCGAAATAGTACAGTACCAGGCATCAACAACCCACTCCGCAACATCAACAGCACGTCTGGTCACTTCAACAACACAGTCCTGAGCTTATTCAATGTTGTACATGTTGTATACATGGTGGTAGAGGAGGAGATACAGCATGGTAAATTAAATTGATGGATTTGTAAGGTACCTTCCCGATATGGGTTGGGCCCTTTAATTTTGCTGTGACTAAAAGCTTTGTCAAAGCTTGTGAGTAACTTGGGCTCACACAGTGATTTGAATGGGAAAAAGATGTTTTTTTTTCCTAGCCTACTAACAGGTTTTTATACTATCAGATATTTATTCTAGGTGATTCTACTTAAGTCCTCCCTCAATCCTTCTGTAAGGTTCCATGGCAATTGTGTGGTGTCACTACTGTTCAAAAACCTGACATCTGTGGTGCCTGAACTCAGATTAATGGAAACAATTTGTGTATTTTAACAATGTATAATTTACAGACTGTACAGATACTGTAATAGTGCCAGTACAACCAATATTGAAGCTGGTGCCCTTCAGTTTAACAGCTGATGAGACACGGAATCAGCCGAGATCAGTTAGCTGTCAAGGTTGACTGACTGCAGTCATTTTCACCCATTTGTCCAGACCGAGCCTTAGGCCCGGATCCTCGCCGTGCAGAAGAATCCATGTGTCATTTTCCAGCTTTGCTTCCCCCCAGCATGTTTCTCGGATCGAAATTCCGCCAGCTCATCACCTCCAATTAAAAATATCCTGTAATCTGAAATACTACTAAAGCTTGCCTAACATAGGATTTGCCACACTATCAAACGTTCCTGCTCCAGCGCAGCGCAACAACCCAACTAGCGCCTCGGAGGTGTCTCATCTCGTCTCTCCCCCCGGGGTCGGAATCTCTACGCCTCCTAGACAGACTAGAGCTGCTCCTGGGCCTCAAACTATCCACTTCCAATTCTTCTCCCCGGCGGCCAGCACCACCGCCTACCCCATCGATACGCTCGTCCACGATGGCGTCTCCGGACGCCAAATCGTACCCGCCCATCCTTCCTCCCGTCGGCGCGCCCCCACCCCCCTCAGGCTCGAGTGCAAACACCACCGTCTCATACGCACCGGGCCGCACGTTCCGGCGCGGGGCGACCTGCGTGCCCAGCTGGAAGCGGTGCTGATACTGGTATGGCGCGTCGGGATCACCCGTGGGTACGCTCGGTGGAAGTGGGGGTGGTGGGGGCGGCGGGGGCGGCGTGGGATGGCGGTGTTGGATGATCTGCAGCGGGGGCGGACCGTAAGCAGAGGCAGGATAGCTTCCGCCGCCCGGGTGGGGGTGGTAGGGGTGATAGTTTGTTGCTGTTCCCGTGCGTGGGTCATAGAGTGCATGCGGTGATGCAGGTGCCGGTAGGCGCTCTCGGAGCGGTGATGAGTGCCGGCGTTGATACTCTGGAGAAAGGGAGCGGGTATGAGATTGGTGGTGGGTATCTGGGTGTCGGGGCTGGCGAGTGAAAGCGGAGGACGAGCCGGCTGTGGACGGGCGGCGTGGAAATGATGGAAAACTCTGCGGGGACTACGAAGCGGTCAATGTGAGATATTCTCTGATTGTGGCTGAACGACCTACCTCTCTCCTCCTGCGTTTCGCTGGGGGCTCAGTCTCTACCCGCTCTGCCTCTGTCAGCACGAACGGCGCGGACGATGAGCGCCGGGATGGTCCCGTAAGTCGCCGAAGGTGGTCTACCTCCCGGGGAGGAAGTGGGATCTGCGAGGGCTCCAAAACTGGTGGCTCTCTGGTGAGGATATCGTGGTGTGGATGCAGTCTGGGCAGTGGCGGCGCACGCGAAATCTCGGACACCGGCGGCAATGTGACCGGAGCCGGACCCGCCCCTTCCTGCACGACTCTGGAAAAGTTCCTCCGCGCGTCGGCGGCCTGTTGCTGTAATGCACTGATATGCCGTTCGAGCTGATTCCACCGATGCCCAACCACCTCCTGCCCGTCTCTTGTTCGCTGATCTGCCGTGCGAAGTGCCGCACGCGTCTCCCGCAATTCGGCCTCGGCCCGCGCCAATCGTTCGTCCACAGCTCTCTTCCCTTCGGCCGCTTGCTCAAGCAGCATACGAAGCTGCCGGGCTTCGTCCTGGGCCGCTTGCAGCTCGCGGCGCATCGCCTGTGTTGCCTCACGGCGGTCATCTCCGTCGAGCGGTCTGCGGATTTCCGCCGCTTGCGTGGTGAGGGGTGATGGACGGGTGGCGCTAGGCGCGTCGCGAGGATTGATTTCGGGTGCAGCATGTCCGGGGGACGGTTCGCGATCCTTGGTCGAAGCCGACCGGCGGGGGTCCATGCAATGTCAGTCGCGGCCAGTGTGATAATCAAAGGGAAGAAAGAAGCGGAAAAATCACTTTATATGACGCGATTTCAGCTGAAAGTACTATAGGAGGGGGCGCGGACGGTTGGAGACAAAGGACACGAGGAACATTGAAGAAATGACGGGAGCAAGGCGGCGGGGCTTTCCCTCTGGCCGAGGCGTGTCTGAAGCCGTATTTGGAACACGAGTTCTGCGTTAGACTTCCGAAACACGTTGGAAACACGTGTGGATTCCATCTCCTTTCCCTCGGTATGAATATGTGCGTTCTTCCGTCTACGGGCGCTTTGACGGGTTGTGTGATCTGATTTCGGACAATCGGCCAGGTGTGGATTCGTCCCGATAGAGCAGTTCGCTGCATCACTTCTTGGAGATGGATCGAAAACCTTGCAGACACGTGCTATCGATAGCGTCCTGTAGGTCCCGTTGAGCGCACCCGCCTTCTGATTTATAGATTCACACAGTGCTAGAGCATGCATCCTGTGCGAGTCTACGGCCGGATTCACTAGTGCCACCGCCCCTTCTCGGCCTTGCGTTAGCGCACCGCTGATGCACGACTTCCGCTCGCAGTGATCTTGACCGATAATGGATCCAGTGACATCCCATTTCCATGCACAAAGATGCACACCGATCCCCGCATGCTCTATCTCGGAGCTTTTCATTTCGGCAATTTGGTTCGCTGACAGCATCTTCCCATGTCTTCGCTCTTCCCTCAGGTCCATTAACAGGCAATCAGCAGAGTTCGAAGAGAATTTATTGCGGTGTGTGAAATCTTGGGATAGGTCGTCGCCCATAAACGCCACGGTTTAATAAAGATAGGCAGAGTTTCGCAAGTTCGCATTGTACTCTAACCTAAACCATCAATTGAAGCAACAATTGTCCCGACTCCCCAACGATCACTAGCGCCCATGCACACAAATTAATGATTTCCTCGGACAGGCAGTATGATTGCCTCAACGATTGAAACACGGAGAAATTTTCTCATGACTCCCTCGGCCCACTGCTGAGATGGTTCGCACGTCCAAGCCCACAAAAAATGCAAAATATTCCACCCAAAGCGTGCTTCCGCTTCCGAGTGCTCATCGGCATCACGATCCCGGAGCTCCTTCTGCTTCCTTCCTCAAGCTTGTTCCGTCCTGGTTCCTTTCACAATCTTTCTCCCGACTGATGTGTTGTAATGGAGCGATTATCGATTTCCCTCAAACTCGCTCTACCCTGAGACCGCCCTGACAGCCTGTGATGGGGTCGCTGGCGGATCTGTGTCTTTCACAAACGTACAGTCAATTAAATTCCTTTTGAGTTGTCGCGCCACGGCCACGGCTGAGGATAAAAATCAGCGTCCCTTCACAGTGTACGTAACAAGAGACCTGTCGAGTGATCCCAATCTGTCACCCCGGCCGCCGCTCTCGTGGAAGGCAGAACCGGTAATTTCCATAACGGGACACGAAATGGTCAGGAGGCATGAGACCTTTCAGCTCGTCGGTTTGAGCAAGGTATAACATCTGATTTCGTCAAGAATGGATCAGATGTACGGAGGGCGCATCAGAGGGATGCTTATCGGTCCCGCTGGATCGATATCGCATTTGAGTCCCAAGCTTTCGTCGATGGCCGAAATCTTCCATCGGACTGGAGTCCTCGCCGCTCCTTCGTGGGTTCCTGCACGAACAGGCTCACATCATCTTGCCTGATTCGCATGGTTAACGCTGCGTCGGAGTCTGAGATAAAGAAGGTACGATGATTGATTTCGCACGCAGTCACGAGAACAATCAGCCCGTGTAAGGTCGACGACAAAGGACATGGTCTGTTTTAGGAAAGGATGATCGTGATGCAGAGTCGGGGTCTCAGTGTCACATTGTTACGGTGTCATAGTCATGTCATCACGTCTACATAACATGACCGTACCCTCACGTGTTCCAGTACACACGACGCGTTCCCTGATTCGGGATGCGCACGGAAGCGTTCTCACTGATATTATTGGCTCGATACTGGTGGAGATGCGTGGAAAATATCAAAATAAAAGAGTAAATCGAAAGAGGAA